TCATCTCAGTCTCCCCTCGGGCAGGTTAAAGCCATTCCCCTTGGCCTGTCCCCACAGGCCCTTGTTCCAAGCCCCTCTCCAGGTTTGTTGCAGCTCCAGAGCTGGAAACAGGATGCAGGGGGGAGATGCTCGAGCCCAGCCCGGCAGGATGAGCTCCTGGGAGCAGGAGGCTGCTGCCCAAACCCTGCACTAAGCAGGCAGAAGGGCCTTCCTGCTGGTGCCAGGTGCTCAGGTGAACCTACAGCTGGAGCATCCTCATATTGGCACCTCCAGCAAAGACTTGGCGAGTGTCTCCCATTAAAAGCTCTTCCAGTTGCTCAAAAGGTCACGCATGAAATTACCATGTAACAGTGCAGCTTATCTCTAATTAAAGGGAAAAAGGAGGCAAGTGGCCCTGCTTCCCCTCAGGCTTCCTTGAGACAACTGCCTTGGAATGGGAGGATGATGGACAGCTCATGCCAGATGAATGTGAAATGATAAATGATTCCCCTGTTTCCCCTGGAGATCAGTGTTTCCCCCCTCAGGCTCCAGCTCCCAGCAGTGGCTCAGCTCCTCTCATTCACTCTGGGGCGTTCAGCAGAGCTGAGCACAAATCACTGTTTTCAGTTCAAATATGGGATGTTCCTCTGCTTTCCTGCAAGCTCCAGATATTCAAACCCAATGACCCAAATGCTGAAGGAAGAAAAGGGGAAGGTTTTTAGAAAACAAGGGGCTTGGAGCGGGCGGCAGGAAAGGGCTCTCGCTCCCGTGTCCTGTGCAGTGAATTCTTTTGCCTTGGTTTCAGGATATGTATTTATTTTCAGGTCGGTGACGTGGTTCTGGAATTTTGGGTAGTGTTTAAGGTAAATGTCGTGCTGTTTGTTCAGCGGTTAAAAAGTACAAGGGCTGTTAAAGCGGACGGAGGTTGTTGGCTCTGGTCAGGAGGGTCTGGAGTTGTCCAAGCTTTGAGGGAAAGGCTTGGGAGCAGCAGCCATGAGCATGTGGTGCCTGTTGGGTCTGTGGATGGGGCCGGCTGTGCCAAATGCAGCTGTGGGCTGGGGGTGAGCAGGAGCCTGTGACTGAAGCGGTTAAACCTGGGCTCTGCAGAGTGGTCCGAGCCATTCCGACCTTGAAGGAGTTAATGCCTCACAGGATGGGTCAGCATCCAAAGAAAGCACACTACGTACGTGCCTGGGCAATGTGTGTGTGCTGGGGGTGGGAGGTCACAGCCCTGGACGTGTCTGTGCCAGACTGGTGGCAGATCTCTACCTCGGCCACTTGAAGCGTTCACATTTAGAGACCTAAACCAGTTTGACTTCTGTCTCACGCCTCGTGTCTGATGCTGGGAGGTGAAGCATCCTTTCCTTGCGAAGCAGCCGAGCTTTTGCTGCAAGCACTGTGTGGGTGCCATTTCCAGGAGCCACTGCTGGGGAGTGGTGTACCCCATGGCTTGGTGGGACTTGAGCATCTTCTGTGTCGTGTGTCTCAGTGTGCCAGCAGACCAGGGGAAGGGAACACTGCCCGTGCTGTGGCATTGCAGCAAGAAATGGGGAGAGGTTTTGCTCTGGATGAGGTGTTCTGGTGCCTCCCTCCATCCCCAGATGTGCCTGAATGTGCCTGGCTGGAGTTCTGACCATAGCAGTGCCCACGAGCATCGGTCTGCTCCATGCAGGAGCCTGGTCCCTCCATGGGGTTCCCCCACTGCTCCTCGGTGGCAGTTGCAGGTCCCAGGGCCTCACTGTCTCATTTCTCTCCATGCAGACTGCAGGTACACGTGCCACCAGGAATGCCTCGGCCTCATCCAGCTGGATTGCCGCCGGCCCAGCCCGTGCCAGAGCCAGCTCTCACCTGAGAGCACCCTCCTGCCGCCCTGCAGCCAGGTACGTGGGGAAGGGGCTCCACGGGGGTCAGCAGCCCCATGGTGACCGCTGGCAGCTCCTCTCAGAGCTGGCTTCTTGCTCCTGACGGGCTTTGCAGGAGGGGTGTCTGCTCAGAGAGGTTCCGCAGCGCTCCCGGATCACTGGCCCATGTCCTTGGACATCTTGTGCCTCTGCCCTGCCTGGATTTTACAAGGAGCTTGATAACCTTGGTTTAGGAATTTCAGCTATCCCAGGGGATCAAGGCACTTCAGTGTGTATTAGGGATGTGTAGTCACCTTAGCTGTTTGCTTGACCCCCACCGAGGGTCCCATGTGATGCTGCAGAGGCCTGTATCCCAATGTGGGTACCTGCCAGAACAGCTGTATGATGCTGCACAGGTTGAGATGTAAGACAATGCTGGAAGCTTGAAACATTGCTTAGAAACCCTCCTGCAGTGGATTTGACTTGCAAAGAGCCTTTTCAGTTTCTATATGCTGCTTTTTTTACCTGGATCCTCTCCTTCATTATAACTGTGCATTTATATTCCTCTTTGTGGAGGACGCTGATGCTCTTGAGAGGAAATGGAAACGGGTGCTCTGTCAAGGAAGGCGCAGGGTTTCTGTGGTGGGCTTGGTTGTTGTCTGTGCTTTGCTGTGAGGTCTGCAGAGCTTGGCCTCACTGGTACGTGACTGAGCAGTTGCTGCTCAGAAACAAGGTCCCATTTAACCCGAAGTCCGATGGGATTTATCTGGAGTTGTGCATCGCAAAGGGGCTCTGAATGGATTCTCCACTGAGCCTGGAGGCATTTGTACAAGGGTGTGAAGCCAGAGCTGTGTTGAGCTCTCCTGATGTCGCTGGGCTTCCCTCAGCAGCGTGAGGACAGCTGGATTGTATCGGAGAATCAGAGGAGCTTGTTTCTTCTTCAGAGCGAGAACGGAGCCGGGTTATTGATGGTGCCGGTAACAAGCGCTGAGCCTGCGCCTCGGGGCAGTTCATCACTGCCACGTCTCTGGTGTGACCCTGGGAAGGGGGAGGCATTTTGTGCCAAGGAAACAGAAGTCCCTGCAGTTACAAACAGAAATCCATAAACCCATTGCGAGGCCCTGGGCAGGGCTTGCAGCTCTGAGCCCCCCTGCCCAGCAAAGTGCTCTCTGGGGTCCTCTTATCTGTGCTAGGAATGGCTGCAGGGCCCGGGAGTCTGGGAGGTGTGGGGGCTGGTTTGAGGGTGAATCACTGTGATAAAGCTCCCCCCTTGTTTGGGGGTAGTGGATAATCAGGGAAAAACATCCTCAAGTTCCATAGAACCACGGAATGGTTCCAGCTCCAGCCCCTGCCACGGACAGGGACACCTTCCACTGGAGCAGCTTGCTCCAAGCCCCTGTGTCCAACCTGGCCTTGAGCACTGCCAGGGATGGATGGATGGATGGATGGATGGATGGATGGATGGATGGATGGATGGATGGATGGAAAACAGTGTCCGTATTCCAGGGTGCCTGAATATGCTGGTGGTGGGGAAGGGGATTGCACACTGAAAATGCAAGAAACTCAAATTAATAGCTGGCATAGTTGGAAGTCATTAAATAGTGTTATCAATTGTAAGCAAACTGGAAACATCAGAGAAACAGCTACTTTAATATCATGTAGTTAAGTACTGTTCACATGTAATACCAGGCATTAATAATGTGGGCTGTGATCCAGCAAAGTACTTAAGAGTACATTACATCTGGGTCCCAGATTAGCCTCCCTGGGTGAAATCCAGACCAGGCTGAGGCTGACAGAAGCCTCCACTGGTCTTGGCAGCACCAGTTTGGTCCCTGGTTTTGGTAGAGCTGGCCAGGCATTAATGGGAGCTGCTGCTGAACCAATGGGGCCAAATCACTTTGGGATTTATTTGTTCGGTTTTTTATGGCTCTGATCTCCCAGGCAGGTGGATTGCAATGGAAGAGTGAGGGCTCTTTGGATAAACCCATCAGTGTGAGTGCATCCAGCTTCTCGTGGGGCACTGCAAAGCTGCCTGCAGCTCATTTCCATTGTGAAATGCTCTGGGCTGAGGCTTCAGTGCCTGTGCCATTCACCAGCCCAGTGCTCACTCTCTTCTTGTGTGGCAATGCTCAATTTAAGCCTCTTTCTCTCCTAAATAGAGTCTGTGAAGCCGAGGAGGTGTGTGCCACCTCAGGAGCACATGTGCTGCTAAGAGGAGGGCTTATTTATTTGCCATTTGGATCCTTGCCTTCCTCTTTAAGATGCAGATGTTGCATCCTCCCGCCAGTCTTTACGTTGACATCCTGGTTTGTATTCATGGGATGCTGCTGGTGATGGGGTAGGGAGCTGTCACAGCCTTGTAGCAAGTCCTTCAGCAAGCAGATACAGATGGAAGGGTATGAAAGCCTTGGTGTTTTCCCAGAGAAACTGTGGCTGCCCCATCCCTGGAAGTGTTCAAGGCAGAAGAGCTTCTGCCTCAGAGCTCCTCTCAGTCTCCCCTCTGGCAGGTTAAAGCCATTCCCCTTGGCCTGTCCCTACAGGCCCCTGTCCAAAGGCCCTCTCCAGCTTTCTTGTTGGCCCCTTTAGGTACTGGAAGCTGCCCTAAGGTTACATAGGATGGATTCACTCAGTGGCACGATGCTCTCACGCCTTGTTCCCTCTTCCTTTTCTGAAGTCTGGTGGAGAGCTGTCGGTGTGTACATTAATACATTACCTAAGCAGAGTCCTTTTGAACACAGGGTGTCAGGCTTTCCTTTACCCCCCTCAACCTGCTCATGAATAGGGGTGGGGAGAGCCCATGCCGGGATGTGCTGCATCCCTATGGATGCAGAGCCCCGACCAAGGGAGGATGATAGGAGCAGCGCCCTGCTCCTGCCTGGCGCCAGAGAGAGCTGTGATCTTCACCAAGAAGGAAGGTCAGAGCTGCTTTAAAAGCTGCTGGGTAAAATGCAGGGTGTGAGTGGGATGGAGGAGCTGGGAGAGTGGGATGGAGGAGCTGGCTCTGGGTATGGGTCCGTGCATGGGGGCAGAGGGAAGCAGGGATAATGCTATTGCTCTGAGGCTCTTTCCAAGGACAACACAGCATCTTAATCAGCCTGGAGCAAGTGCTTCGTGCAGACAGGACCTGAAGCTGAGCTGCTTTCTCCTGGGCTGCAGTAGACGCTGCCTCAGCCGGGTGTCAGCACTGCTGAAATCACTCCTGCTGCTCCAAAATGAGCCGCAGAGCGGAGAGGAACCCACCGCCCTCCCACAGCGTGACGACCCGGGGCTCCTGGAACCCCAAGGAGGGTCTTCCCTTCCCCATCACCCTTCAGCAGCCGAAGTCCAGCCTGGACTTGCTTCCCTAAGGCAGCAGATGCAGCGCAGCTCTCGAGGATGCGCTAACAGGGAAGGAGCACGGAGCCAGCCTGCGTGGCGATGTGCGCTGGGTATCAAAGGAGGAGCTGGGGGCACCCAGGGGCCGGGCCGTGCCCGCGGCCAAACCCAGCTCCTCATCCCCAGCGTGCAGCAGCGGGGTGACCGATCCTGCGAGAGGAAGTGGCCGGGCTGCGGGGCGAGCGCAGGAAGGGGAGGTGATGCTGGGTGCCTGAGTGAGCGCCCCGGGGGACCAGAGCGGGAGCTCCCGGGGCCGAGAGCGGGAGCAAACTCAGCTCTGCCCCTTCCATGCTGCGCAGGGAGGCGGGTGCAGGGGGAGAGGGAAGGGTTACCCAGCGCGGCTGCCTGTTAAAGAGAAACAGCTCCGCTGGCTCCCGAGGATGAGCAGGAGCAGCTACTGCAGATAAGCGCCGGCGAGCGGAGGATGTGAGAGCCGGGTCCCTGCTGGTGCGGGAGCCGGAGCGGGGACCGCCGATGGTCAGCAGCCCCCCGGTGAGCCCCGGGTGTGCTCGGCCTCTCGCCTCTGCCGGGCTTCGATGACCATCGGCAGCAGCATGAGCAGCGGGTACTGCAGCTTGGATGAGGACCTCGAGGATTGCTTTTTCACAGCAAAAACCTCTTTCTTCCGGAGCACACCGAGCAAGGTCCCTGCCAAGGTAACGGCTTAGGAACTAGTGAGGAAGGGGGGGGGGTTGTGGCTGTTGGTGCTCCTGCACGTTTGGCTGCAGGTGCTGCCAAAATTAGCTTGCAGCTCGAGTCAGGGCAGTGCTGCTGGTGGGGAGAAGGGCTCTAAGTGCCTCTTGCAGGGTCCCTGCTCCCATGCAGGGGGGTCTGCGCTGCTGCAGGTTTATCTCAGCCATGTCTCAACCTTTTGCATGCCCGGTTTTCCCTTCCCAGGGGGTCCACAGTGGATTTTGTGACTCCAAATATGTGTTTCCAGCTAGCGGGGGGCAGGCAGCAGCCCTGTGAGCTCACATCCACGGGTCCGGCTTCCGGCCAGGGACCTGTGGGTTGGCCTCACAAAATGCGCAGCATCGGTGGAAATTGGCCCTGTGAGATGGGAAAGTTACAGGAGTAAATGAATCTGTGAACTTAGCAATGGAATGATGAATCCGGCCCTTTGCTGGGTGCTCGGGTGCATGTGTACGTGCCTTGGAGAAGGAGAGAGCGCTTGGCTGGTCTGTGTCTCAGCCTGGGACGGGATTTCTGTAGCAGACAAACTGAGGAGGCTGCTCCCTGGGTTTTCAGTGGTTATTAAAAACAAACCAAAAGCAACCAAACATCCCCGTCGGAAACTTCGGGGCCCCAGCTAGAACTGAGCATAAAAGGAGAAGGCACAAAAGGCGCTGAGCAGCGGAAGTGGGGGTTTCACTCAGGAACAGGAGCCCTGCGGTACCGAGCCATGAGATCTGGCCCGGGGAGCAGCTCCTTCACCTAGAGATTCCCCTGCAGCCCACCAGCACTGACTCCAGGCTCTGCTGTGTCTGCATGAGGCTGCTGAGCTGCCACCCCCAGCAGATGCTTTGGGGTTCAGCTCTGTGCAGGGTGTGATCCTCAGGGCTCTCCCCATGACCTGAGCTGTTCCCCACGGTGGGGCTGAGAGTTTCCATCCGTTGGCAATTTGAATTCAATGTGGGATATTCCCTGTTAGGCAGCAGCTCCCTCTCGCTATGATTAACCGACACGTACTGCTGGTTTTTAAATGTCATTTGATGATTCATTCGTGGAGGAGATGCAGAAGATGATGGTGTTAGTGTGCAGTAGGTGCTGCACCCCATGCTGGTTTAACACTGTTCTTCTCAAGCCAGGGCACTGCAGATCCTCAGCTACCTTTTGAGATCATCCTGATCCCATTCATGCTCAGCAGCGCTCCCTCACAGAGGGATATTCCAGCCCCTTTCACCCAGCTCCTTGCTTGGATGTGGTGCAGAGCTCAGGGCTGCTGGAGGAGATGAAGCCTGGGGGGGGTTGGTATTACAGGGAGTAAATGGTTTCTGTGCATGCAAAAGAAACCCCCACACAGAGAATGTGCTGCTCGACCCAATGGTGTTGTGTAACGGGACTGTGTGCGGAGGTGGATTCCTGCGTGTCTCCAGCGAGAGGTGGAAACCATCCTCAGGCCTTGGTGGAAGGGGTCTGCGGGGGCTTTGTGGTGCTGCAGGTCCTGGATGGAGCTGGCCCTGGAGCGTGGCAGGAGGAGGATGAGGGGGTGGAGGTGCTCTGGTGGGGCTGGGCTGGATGGTGTGAGGAGGGCAGCAAGGAGAGCGTGTGCCTGGGGAGCAGCCTAGGGAGGCGCTGGCACAGGGTGCCCAGAGAAGCTGTGGCTGCCCCATCCCTGGCAGTGCTCAAGGCCAGGTTGGACACAGGGGCTTGGAGCAAGCTGCTCCAGTGGAAGGGGTCCCTGCCCGTGGCAGGGGTTGGAGCTGGAGGAGCTTTAAGGTCCCTTCAACCCAAACCAGGCTGGGGTTCTATGGTTCCCACCACTGCAAGAGCAGTGTACGGCAACAGCACTGCTTTGCCCTGCCAGGTACTGCATCCGCTCCTGGCCACGGGCAGAAGACATGAGCTCAGACCCAAAAGTGCATTAACCTTCTTGGGAAAGGCAGCGTTTGTCCATCCTTAGCTGCCCAGGAACGATTCCCGAGGCCAGGATGCACAGTGAGGGCAGTCACCAGCCCTGCGCTGGGCAGGAATAAGCTAAATACGGATAACGTAGGGATGCATGTCTTAAAAGACCCATGAAACAGTCTCTGTGGAGGAAATATGCTGGGTGTGGGGTAGGGGGGGACTGCCATTTCAAACAGTAGAATGGAATTTGAGCACTGTGATTAGAGAAACGATTTTTCTGACTGAAATAGCTGTATTAACCTAATCTAAATACCCAGAACAGCCTGAAGAGCCTCTTTCTAGGAATATTGTGATTCCTTTGGTTATCAGAACCATCACTGCAAATCATCCTCTCTTAGCAAAGAACTGGTTTAGATCTCAGATGTGACCCCATCACCAGGGATCTCTTGCCTGTGACTCTTCTGATCGGTGGCTTCTGCCTGAAGCCTGATGGCCTAAAGCTCTGCAGGGTTGCTCTTAGGAGCCCTGCATCAGTGGCCGGCTTAGAGAGGGGAAGGGGCAAGTTTCTGTCCAAGAATAGAAAACACAAGAGGCACAGAACGCACCTGAATTGCCTGGAATGGGATCCAGGCGTGGGCTGACGAGTTTAGGGGTCCAGGGCATGGAGCTCTTAGTGGTGGGATGCACGGGCGGTGGCCATGGGGCACCACTCCTGGGGAGGGAAAAGGAGGCTTTTCCTGCTCCTGTGATGGGTTCCCCGTTGCTGCTCCTGAGGATCCCTCTGATCCACCCAGCCTCCAGGGTCTCACACACCCAGGCAGTGGCTGTGGCCCAGTGGGGTCCTGCCCAGCCCTGACCCCGTTCGGATGGAGCTTCCTGGGAGGACCCACACAGCTCTCATTGCTGCTGCTGTGGCAGGAAGAACGGTTTCCAAGTAAGATCTCCATGGCAATCAAAACACTGAGCCCACCCTCACTTGCCTCTAACCTCTCTGAAATGCAGTGAGGATCCTTCCCCCTCCTCCAGAGAGGTGCTGCCCCTCTGTCTTCTGCCTTTTCCTCTGAACCCCAAAGTAAACCTCAGCATCTCATTTGAATTTCTCAAAGGGAGTGAAATACATTGGGTTTTTTTGATGCTTGGTTGGTTTTTTTGGTGGCTTTTCCTCCAGATCTGTTGTATAATTCTTCCCCTCTCCTTGCTTGAGCACTCGAGCCTTTCCCTATATAGTGCTGTGAACAGTGGGAGTGCGTGGTGAAGAGGGAGGTGTTTGGCAGTGATGGAGAGCTGTGCAAGAGCAGAGATGTCCCAGCTCCCTGGTGACTGTGATGGGGCTGCCCCATCCCTTCTGCCAGTTCTGAGCTGGCAGTTGTGACGTGTCTGGCTCAGATCTGAAGCATTCACATTTCGCTCCAGTCCTCTGTGCTGTGCTGTGACAGTGGTCGCAGGGTGTGAGCTGATGATGCTCCTCTCCATGACAGCTCCCTGGCCAGCAGCGCTTCCAGGCTTTGATTTCTGATGTTTTACACCAAATCTTTCCTTAATAAGCAGAGGAGTTGAGGATTGATGACCTCTTCCCTTCAGAATTGGTCCTTGGAATACCCCTGCAGAATGAACAGAGGAGCCAAAGGGAGAGCTTGGGGAATGCGAGCTGTGGCAGTGCTGCTGATGTAAATGGTGATGGACCTGTGCCCGAGCACACCAGGGAGGGCTTGGCCACTCCTGCCTCTAGATAAGACAGTCATTGCCAAGAACGTGGTGGTGTTGGGCCAAATCCATCTCCACCACTCTGCTATTCAAACTCATTAGCTAAATAGCTGCTGAGGAAAACCGGCTGGGAGCGAGGGCACAGGGATAGTGTCTGGGTCGTGGCTGCAGGGAAGTGGCCCTTGCTCCAAGGAGTGTCCTCTGGAAGTGCAGGCTCAGTCTTTCTCCTATAGTGCCTTTCCATGGCTGGTTTTGTGGCTAGCAAAGCCACTGAGCTGTGTATCCAGGCCACAACCACACACCGGCTCCTTGGTACCGAGCGGGGCTGAGGTGGGATGGGGAGCCATGGGAAGAGGGCATCATCCCCTCTTGCAACGGCATCAGGAAGCGCCCAGGTCCTGCCTGGAGCTGTTGTTCCCAATGCAGAGGTCTGGAATGGTGCAGATTTGCTTGCTTTGAAAAGGTTTGTAGGCTGGGGGCTGCCTCCTGCAAGGGGAGAGGCTGTAGGAAGGATGCTCTTCAGCTCAACAGGGATTGTGTCTGTTGCCTTTCTTGGCTTTCTTTTGAGAGGATGTCACCATAATCAGGATGGCCCATGGGGTTTTTACCTCCCCCATAAGTATGTCACAGCTCACGGCTCATTAGATGAGTAGTAGGTTGCAAAGCAGAGGCTGGGGTGGCCAAGGGGCTGTGGCTGAGCTCCAGGTGATGGGCGCTGAGCGTCACGGCTGCCTGCTCCTCTCAGGGTGCTTGTTCTGGGCAGCCTTTGTCCTGCCAAGCATTAGCCCAAGTGCCAGATGGGGCTCGAGCCATTCCTTACAACTGCTATTTCTTGCAAGCAAGGAATCCTGTAGGCTATGGAAGGGGAGCGCGTCTGCCGCAGGCTGTGATGGGTGTGGGAGGATGCATGGAATCATGGAATGGTTTGGGCTGGAAGGGACCTCAAAGCTCCTCCAGCTCCAACCCCTGCCACGGGCAGGGACCCCTTCCACTGGAGCAGCTTGCTCCAAGCCCCTGTGTCCAAGCTGGCCTTGAGCACTGCCAGCGATGGGGCAGCCACAAGCCAGGCAGGTTCACCACTCGGTGATGCCCGGGCTTGGTGCTGTGCAGCCCCGGGATGCCCACATCTCCCTGCAGGCCACGGCTGGCTGCAGGTTATGTTACGGCAGCCTCATAGGCGCGGGTAAACTCCTTGTGTGCTGAGCTGAGCGTGGTGGGTCACCTCCAGCATCCGTGGCCGTGCAGTGTGAGTGGGAGCAAGTTGGCAGCTCCAGGCTTGCCATCCCTTCACTTCCAGTTGCACGTGAGGATGGCGCGATGGAGGCGATGGGAATGCGCTGGTTTTGCAGGCACAGGCGTCGTGGTGCGGCTGGTGCTGCTCTTCCCTGCTTCCAGCCAGGAGAGCCGCAGGTCCAGCAGTGACTGCCCGGGCTCAGGCGCAGGCAGAGCTATGGGGCTGTTGTTTTGTTAACAGCTTGTTTCATCCTGCCCCGGTGCAACAGGAAATGTGGCAACGGTTTATGGTTAAAAGCTTCTGTTTTTCTTCCTTCAGACAGAATTGCGCGTTCTGCAGCAGCAGCTTTGCAAAACCAGAGCTCTGGGTACAGTGGAGAGCAAGAAGTAGCTGATTTAATCGTACACGGTGGAAAGAGCAGCACTTCCCTTCCCTGGGCTGGTCTGGGCCCTGCCCCCAGCTGGGTTTGGGGCTGTAAAAGACATAAAGGATTACAGGCTTCTTGTCCCTCGGGTGTGAGGGTGCCAGAGGAAGGGGAGCTGGCAGAGTCTTGTGGTGGAGTTGCTCCCGTGCCACCCCTGGGGTGGAAGGGAAGAGCTGCTTTGCTCTGGCGCTGTTCTGTCGCGCCGCTGGTCCAGGTTAACTCTCCCAGCACATTGCAGTTTGCCTGTTAAAACCAAAGCACTGCTAAGAACTGGCCTTAGGCATTGCTACTGTGAGAAGTGCTAACTTCTGCCTGGGTTTCTGCACCACAACCGATGTGAGGGACGAGGGGCTGGGGTGTCCCGTGCTGGGTTATGCTATCCACACAACCTGCTGTTTCGGAGGTGCAGCCTTAACTCCTGCAGGTCACAGAGCCCCACGCAGGGACACTGCTCTTGTTTGCCAGTGCAGATTGGTTTTCTCTGCACACCTTAGATTGTGCTGCAGTGGGAACTGTTACACCATCTGCCACTGACGCCGGGAGCTTAATAAAGCAAATTAATTCCATGCTGGGCGGAAGATGACTTGTAAAATGACCCTTAGAGAACGCATCGTGGCTGCTAAACCCTGCGTTTGCCCAATTGTCATAATGCAGGGTTTCCTTTTCAATTACAGTTGCATGTGGAAGGAGAGAACAACTTGTTACCCACAGCTGCGCCTGCGTGAGCATTTCGGTTGTGACGGCCAAGGGCTGGAGTCCCGTTTCCTTAGGGCAATTCCGCCGTCGGGGTGTTGGCTCTTCCAGCTGCAGATGAAGGCTCGGTGTGGTGGAAGTGCTGGGTTATGCTGGATGGGCAGCGGGTGCTGGAGCGATGCGGTCTATGGGGTCTATGGATGCTTTGGCTCCCGTCTGGGTTAGTCCCAAACAAATCAATGTGGTAAATAAGGAAATTAGGGGCTCTTTCCTAATGTGCTTTCCACGATGAGGGTCTGAGCATGAAGAAGCTGCAGGATGGGCAGAGGAAAGCAGTGATTTGTAAGTGGGAACCGAGCTGTCTCCTGCATTCCCCAGTGCTGCTGGGGCAGGAGGTGAAAGGGGCAAAGCGCCCTCCTGACAGGGTATATCCCAGCTGCTGGCTGCTTCCAGAAGGGACACCGCACACTGAGCTGTGTCATCCAAGACTGCGTCCAAGCTGGCCTTGAACACCGCCAGGGATGGGGCACGGTGTGAGAGCTCTGACGTGGTGCCACCAGCACCACATTCCTGAGCCAGGCGTCCCAGAGCCGTGAGTGATTACTGTTCCCCAGAGCATGAAGCAATTAACATCTGTCTTGTGCCTGCTGGAGCCCCAGGGACCGGCTCCGCTCCTGGCTGCCGCGGCTCTGGATGCGCCGTGCATCCTCCATGGAAACCGGGTGGCATCAGCGCACGAGCTGCTCCAAAAGCTCTTAATTGCTGGCACACGCTGCTTTCCTAAGCTGGAAACATCACAAGAGGGGAGGGACTTGCCCTGTTGGGGAGAAGCAAATCGCAGTGACAGGGACAGGCTTTCATGGTGCGTGTCTGGATGGATGCTGGTGGGCACCGGGTTGTGTGTGTGCCATGGTGACGGGCAGTGAGCACGCCCAGCGTGTCTTACCCCTGCAGATAAAGGTCTGTGCATGCAGGAGGGCTGCACCCAGTGCTGCCTCACTGGGTGACTCTGGGGCAGCCCTGGTGGGTGCCAGGCTCCAGCACTGTGAAATGGGTGATGTGAGGAAGTGGAGGGTTTCCGAGTGCGCGTCCTCCCTTCCCTGAAAGGGAAGGTTTTCATTGTCTTCAATTCTTCTCTCCTCACCCTGTGCCAGCGCCTCAGCACCCTCATAGGGAAGAGCTTCTGCCCCAGAGCTCATCTCAGTCTCCCCTCGGGCAGGTTAAAGCCATTCCCCTCATCCTGTCCCTACAGGCCCTTGTCCAAAGCCCCTCTCCAGGTTTAAGGCCCTGAACCAGGAGCTGTCTCTCATACCATGTCCATGCTGCGCCAGGTCAGCGTTCCGAGAGGTCTCGTGCTGTTTGTCACTCTCAAGCAGAAGCTGTGAGCTCTCACTTGGGACTCACTTCAATGAATCTGGGGCTCTCGACCCCCAGGCTGTAGCTGTCCTGCAGATTGCAACCAGGATTCCAGCTTGTCCTGTGCTTGATTATCCTCCTAAAAGAAATATCATGGGTAGCCTTGGGCAATCCTGGCTTATTTACAGCTTGCTGCATCCTTGTGTGCTGTGGGGCTGCTTGGCAATAGAGCAGCGTTGCTCCCAAGGTTCTTTTTCCCCTTTTCTTTCCTGTCTTAGAGGTTACAGTTTGCATTCTCAGCCTCACCAGCCTCGATAGCGCATCCCTTCACGCTTCTTGCTCTCACTAATGCTAACTCCTGAGTGAGCCCGCATAAAATATGGGCTTGCTGCTCGTGGTTTCAGGCAGAATGTATTTACAGCCTGTCTCCAGGGAAGGGGGTGAGCTATGGAATCCAGCCTGCTGAGCACAGCCCAGGACACATACAGGCTTGTTGCAGCAGGTCTGGATTTGGGATGCTGCAGGCTGTGCTTTGGAGGAGACCCCATTGAAAGGCTTTGGGTAACCCAGCAGTGTCAGACCTTGAAGCACAAGAGGAGCCTCGTGCAGGGAGTTTCCAATGGTCTTGTGGCTATAAAGTCATCGAGGCTGCTTGGGTGCTGGAAGTGTTGCTGCTGGTTGGTGTCTGGCACCATGGGTTGATGTGATCCTTATCTCTGGGCTGGTACCTTGTGGGGATGCTCCTCAGCTGTGTGTCCTCACAGAGACAGGCAGTGCAGGGTTACATAGGTCCTTGCTTCCATCCCACAGGCACAGGAGCAGTAACTCTGCTGTTAATGCTCCTGTAGCTCTGTCAGTGCAGACTGTTCTAGATGGACACTGGAGGCGAGTGGGTGCTTTTGTCTGAGGTACCTCTTTGGAGCTTGATGCATCCACAGGGGATGCGGATGGGATGCAGGGGGGTGTCCCGCTCGCTGCATGTCTGCCGGGGGCATGGCTGTGGCTCAGTAGCTTCAGCTTTGTGCTCTGGGTTTCCCTCTCCTCCTTGCCTTGCTCCGTGAAGCACTTCACTGGGTGCCTTGGGGAGGGATCACATCCTGGTGCTCCGTTTCTAGGGTGTCCATGAGCCCCTGCAGCCAGTGCCATGATCCTTGGGCACAGGGGAGGTGGGAGCATGGCTCAAGGCTGCTACAGAGAAACCATCTGCAAATGCGTGTTCCTGGTGCCTCATCAGAGCCTCCTTCAGGCTCCCCCAACACCTCCTGCTCTGCCTCTGCGTCCCTGGAGGAAAGCAGCCTCACTGCAAACCCGACGTGCCACCCGCCTCCTGCAAAGCCATCCATTGCCTCTCTCCTTGAACACTCGAAACCCTGACTTGCATTTGGGAATCTCCCGGGAGCTGCAATGGGATTGTGTTCTCCCATCATTCATTGGCGACGTTCCCATGTGTGACCTGCAGGTAAAGCCCGTTTGTTGCTTTGCCTTCCAAAAGGATATTCCCTAAATCCTGGGCAAGCAGCAGTGCCCGCCGCCCCCAGCAAAGCCCCACGCATGGGCAGCCACTGAACGGGTCTGCAGTGACTGGTTTATTAGTCATTGTACCACCTGGTGTGATTCCGCTGCTCTGAGCTGTAATCCCACAGCTTGGGATAAGAGCAGTGAGGAGTGATCAGCAGATTTAGCTTCAGGCTCTGCCCGGGTGAGCCTGCTGGAAGCACATGTGTTTCGAAGGGGCTGCCTGGCTTGGGTAGGCAAAGTCATGAATGCTAGAAATAGGATGTGACTATTATGGGATATTTCCTTGCAAGAAGCTCAGCAGGTGGAGGTGGCTTTTTGAAAGCAGGTTTTAGAGGCTGGATTCTTTGCCCTGGGTTGCGCTGGGACGCATTTACTGCTCTGTGCCTCTGGTGGGTTTTGTGTTACCTTCCACTGCTTGTTACTGGTGCATAGAGGTGGTTTGGGGCAGAGATGTGGCATCCTGCACACGAAGCCTCTTGGCTGTATGGACCATCTCTGCCATCACACTGCTGGGGTGAGCTCGGGGTCCTGAGAATGCAGTTATCCAGCACACATTACAGCTAAAGCCTGTCTGTTCTGGTTTCAGAATGTAACACAAACAGTAGAAGAAGAAAAACCCGAGCCTCCGACCATCCAGGAGATCAAGCAGAGGATTGAGAAGTACAATGCAAAAGTTACAAACTGCCTGTTGATGAAGCTGGTACGTACTGGGCTCTGTTCACCAATAAGCAGGGAATAAAACACGAGGAATACAGCTGGGAGATCCTGCTGAATGTGAGGGTAGAGATCTGCCCCGAGGCTTCAAATCCTCACTTAAGTGCAAATGACATGTAATGGTTTCCATAACTGACTTGTATCAGCCTTGGTTTTAAATAAGACACAAGGAAGGGCTGAGTCAGTACAGAGGGGAAGGAGCAGGACAAAATCAATAGTGACTAACCCGAAATGATGGGTTACTTCTGATGTGATTAATAAGAAACCCTCCAAGTCCCAGCAGGACCGAGGTCCTGCAGTCACCCACAGCTCTATAGACCTGAAAGCCCCTTGTAGGTGTTAGGAAGGACTGGAAAGACTTCCAGGAGCCTGACCCCCTTCTCCTTTGCTTCAGAACGACGATGGGACATACACGGGATTCATTAAAGTGCATCTGAAGCTGCGGCGCCCTGTGACGGTGCCGGCGGGGATCCGGCCCCAGTCCATCTACGATGCCCTCAAGGAGGTGAACCTGGCCGACATGACGGACAAGAGAACCTCCTTCTACCTGCCGCTGGATGCCATCAAGCAGCTGCACATCAGCAGCACGACCACGGTGAGCGAGGTGATCCAGGGGCTCCTCAAGAAGTTCATGGTGGTGGATAACCCCCAGAAGTTTGCACTGTTCAAGGAGATGCGGAAGGACGGGCAAGGTGAGTCCATGCTCTGAGCTTCCCTGCGGCCCATTGGGTCCAGGGACACACCTGAAGGCTTCTCACAGGGCTTGGTGTGTCAGGCAGGCAGATGAAGTGACCTGCTTGAGTGAGGGCCACAGAGCTGCTGCGAGAGCTGGAGCAGCTCTGCTCTGGAGCCAGGCTGAGAGAGCTGGGCTGGGGCAGCCTGGAGAAGAGAAGGCTCCTGAAGGGGAGACCTGAGAGCAGCTCCAGTGCCTGAAGGGGCTGCAGGGAACCTGGAGAGGAACCTGGATGTAGGGACAGGCCAAGGGGAATGGCTTTAACCATGAACAGATGGCTGGACCTACACAGGTCCATGCGAATGGAGAACTCAGTTTTCAGAAGGCGGCTGAAGCCACCTAAGACCTCACAAGGATCATTCCGGATCCATGTTAGAGACTCAGCTACTTCCCCTTTGACCCTGAGCAACACGAACCACTTTTAGATGCTCCCATTGACCTCCTGAGCTTTCCCCTGGCCTGGCAGCCCAGGTCTCACTGCGGATGTCTGCTGTCCCCTTGCAGTGCTCTTCCAGAAGCTGCCTCTCACCGAGTACCCCCTGTACCTCCGGCTCCTGGCGGGTCCTGACACAGATGTGCTCAGTTTTGTGCTGAAGGAAAACGAAACAGGGGAAGTCGAGGTACGTTGGTGACTCTTTCCCTTGGCTCTTACATGCACGCTAACTGTGTTGTGGAGAACGTGGCAGCATCGCAGGGCTGGGATGTGCATTATGGGCTTTGCTTTCTGAACTACTGAGGGTGATATCAGCTTCTTTCCTCCAAACTTAATTTACCAGCTGAGTGGACTGCTTGGACCTTCATTGAAAATAAGAATATTGATAGATTTTGGTGATTTCTTGCTCCTAAATTAGCTTAATATTAAAACAAACCTGAAACTTGAGCTGTGAAAATGCTGAGCCAGCTTTGATGGCCAACCCCTAATCTGGTTACAGAACCAAGCAACGCCACCCTGGAGTTAATCCTCACAAATCAGATTAGCTAAATGCTGTTAGAAGTAATCCACTGATTCAAGTAGAAGCCAGGGACGCCCTGGTGCTAAATTCACAGTCAGTTTTTGGTTGCAGTCGTGTAGATGCTGCAGGAATGCTGCTTCCCATGGCAGTGCTGAGCAGTATTTGTTAAGCAATCCCAGTCATCATCTGGAGACCACGTTTAACATGTTTAAATGTCTTTTATTGTTCTTCTCCACTAATTTAGAGGGGAAAATAACCCCACAAAATCAATGAGGTGAGTGATGTGTGCTTACTTCCCCTCTGTTTCTGCTGGTTTTGCAGTGGGACGCGTTCTCCATCCCAGAGCTTCAGAACTTCTTGATGATACTGGACAAAGAAGAAAAGGACAAAATCCAGCAAGTGCAAAGGAAGTATGAGAAGTTTAAACAGAGACTGCAACAGACCTTGAAAGAAGCCAAAGGGAAGCCTGGATAACCCTTTGGAAGCACTGGGATCAGACTAAGCTAGATAGTACTTTTAAAATGAAAAGACACTTCTCAGGACACCTTATAGTAGTCACCCTCCCTCTTCATCCTCTCCTGAAGTCCTTCAAGTGAACATATTGCATTTTCTCCTTCTGAAAGCTCTTCTCCCAGGGCCAGAGAACGGGGAGCCTGTTTTCAAACCATGCTGCTCAACCAACCAAACACCGTCAGAGGAGCTCCGTGGAAGATGCTCCGTGTTGCAACCCAGCAGGAACACCTACTGGCTGATGTCTTGAGCAGGGTCACGCTTGCTGTTAACGCTCCTCTCAGTGACTTGCGTGTCCTCGTGTGGAGGTGCTGAGCTCACTGCGTGTGCCCACGTGGCTGAGTTCTGGTTTCATAAGTAGAGCACAGGAAGCAGGAGGTGGTTGCACCAAACCATGTGGGTGTTGCAGCCATAACCAAGGCTGTTTATGGGCATGTTCAGGGCTGAGAGAAGCAGGGAAATGCCAAGTTCTGAGCCCAAGGCAGCTGCAACACCCAAAGAGTTGTTAGTACACATTAGTGAAACTTGGTGATCTTAATTCTAGGGAAAAGTCATCTGTTTTGATTCTATTTAACTTCCAGTTGTGAAAACAGATGTGACTGAAAGCACATCCCCCTGATGCTCACGTTAAGTTGGCTGGTTTTTAACCAGTTTTCTACCCTGTAGGAATTGGGACCTATAACTGAAGACATTCTGTTTGGAAGGTATAAAGATGATGGTTGAGGCTGATGGGTCAGTACTGAACGTTTAGCAATACACATCCACCAGAGCAACCCAGGAAAAGTCAAACCTAACCCCTTTCATAAATCAAACTGATGAACAGGTCTGGCACCGAGGGAGAGGAGCTCCAACCAGGGCCAGGGTGTGGAGGTGGCACCAGGAGCCTTCGCACCAGGAAGAGTAAGAGTAGCCTCAGATGCTTTCTGCCCACCTCTGATATGCTTTATCCCACTGATCCTCCTTGTGCTGCTTTCCCACTACTCCTGTCCATGACACACCAGCCTCTCCTTCCCTGTGCTGCTCTCTACATGTGCTGTCCTCCTTCCTTCCCTCCCCACGTGCAACTGGTGCTCTGCCTGCATGCCCAGGTTCTGCTCTCTACGTGGAGCTAGGAGAGGACAGCAAATGTCTCTCTCCCTTTCTCAGGGCTCCCACCATCTCTGACCCACGCACTTCACAAAGATCCTTGAGCTGGAGCATCAGTTAATGCCATAACTCCAACCAGAGCCCCTGGTCTTACTGATGCTGTGTCTGCAGGGCAAGGAAGGCTGTGGGGATGCTGGTCAGAGGATGGTTCCTGTGTTTACTCTGCTCGGTGCTTTGTACTGGGCATGCTGCTCGCAGCCAGGGTCAGCCTTCCCTTGGTTTACACCACAAAGTGTAAAGAGAAAAGGGACAATAATACAGGCGGAGCATGTGAAAGGGTTTTGTGTTGGCTTGATAAGCAAGTGTCCCTGCGAGCTCGCTGTAGGCTGCAGTGATCCCACCTGACATGGGAAGGGAGGCAACAGGTTATTGGGTAACGGTGACCGCAGAGACCATATGGAAGAGTCCAAAATTTACCTCAGTGCCTTTTTTTTTCCCCCCCTTAAGTGTAAAATGTTTGCATTTGGGCTAAGGAGGAAGCTGGAAGGGGCTTTTGAGAGGCCTTGTCAGTCTGTCCCCCTCTGATCCCAAAGTACTGTTGTGGTGAGGCTGCTGCTGTCCGCAGAGGGATGAGGAACCGTTTTGTTTCTTTCTTGAAGGTGACTGCTTGGGATTCTATTTTGTTTCCCCTTGGATTTGTACTTGAGTGTGTTTATAAATCATAAGAGAGTACCTGCATCACTGAAAGCCCCTCGGTTTGTGTGAACGCCCCTTTCTGCAAGCTTCCTTGCAGCTCACGCTTTAGTCAGAGGTGTAAAAGGGTTTGCTAACAGGGCTCTGGCCTCTGGCACACAGTGCAGGAAGGGCCTCCCAGCTGTACTGTACTCTACACCCAGATGACCTTTAACAACATGGCAGCAGCCCAACTGAAGCAGCACTTTTCATGCTCTGGGGCTGTTTGTCCATTTAGAAGAATGCTTATTACTTCACTGTGCACTTGTGATTTAAATATCATTGATGGAATTTAAATATCATTGATGGAGTGCTTTGAGTTTCAAAGCACTGTATAAATCTGTTCAGTCCAGAGCAAGAACACTGTAAAAACTGCCCTTGGTTCTGAGAAGTAAGATCCAGATGCTTGGTTTTAAATCCCTTAAACCTTTCTGGCTAAAAGTTGTAAAGCTTTCCTCTTTCGTTGTTGAGTTTTGGTGACTGTTCCCCTCTCCCTCCCTGGAACCCAGCATGTCTTTGTAGAAGGCATGGCTTCTTATGCAATTACTGTGAATGCTGCTGAAAACCTCCTGCAGGGAGGGCTCTTTCTTTTGGTTTTTCAAGATATGGGGGCATCTGAAGAATCAGCAGATCTGGAAACTCAAACTCTCTGTGTTTAGGATGGAAGTATCAGCCCCTGAAGCGCAAACTCCTGTTGGCAGTGCCTTTGGTTTAGCATCTTGTCTTGCCTAGTTGGTGTGAGTTTATTTTTCATGTCTCTTGTAAACCATGTAAAATACTGTGTATAGAATGGACTAGCAAAGCTTCTATGGCAAAGTGAGATGCATTTTGCAATGCTGTAATTTATTTTTACTACTCCCCTAGTAATTCTATGGCATTTTTATTAAAAAATGTCTCACTTCCAGCTTCTTTTGAAGGTTCTGAAACTCCTTGTTCATATGCAGACAGTGTAAAAGACAACAATAATAAAACTGTCAGTAATGAAAGGAGTCTCTTTTCTGGCGCCCTCCTATGGAACTTTCATGTGTTAAGTCTAAAGGGAAAATAGAGGAATCTTTCTTAATCCTACTGTGAAGTGCTGAAGCTTCAGCTAAAGAGGTACAGAACATCCACCCCTGTGCACCCTGACCCACGTGTTCCATTCATCTTCTATTTTATCTAGATTTGACAGACCTGCTACCTGTGATAAATCACAGCTGATGTTGTACATTAAAATATGCTTATATGTATATAAAATTAATGCAAACCATAAAAATCCAGCTAATGGAGTTCATTCTCAGTGCTAAAGTGTTTGATATTAATACCTAGTAACGTTTAAAAGGCTAAAATCTAAAACCAAACGGGTTTTACTTCTGACATACACCATCTATGGCAGAACACACTGGCCTGTTGCAGGACAATGTGTTGGAATGTACTTTGCTTTCATTTCAGTGGAGGTTCTACTACCACACCTTTGTTAAAAGATGCAAACCAAAGATGTTAAATAGCCAGAAAACCAGTGCACCATTAGGAACTTCCAGAAAATAGATGAGAAAGGATAATGCCAGGGAGTTTATTCAGTCTTTTATTTTATGAAAAATGAACAGTTGGAGCAGTTATTAATATTGGGGTGAATCTCAGACCTTGTAAACCTCCAGCACTCGTTTCTGAATGATGAGGGCCCCTCCATTAGCCTGGATTTGTTGGCAGAACACTTGTATAAATAATGAGATCTGAGTAATTCTTACAGTAGATTTTCCCTCTTACTTTTTCCGGCCAAGCTTTGGAGCCTTCTCAAGGCCTCGAATGTATTTCCGAGGTAGCTGGTATTCTTCTGCAACACAACCAAGAGTTCAGGTAAATACTCAGAGCTCAGTCCCAGCCCAGTTCCTGAACCTACTTACCTAGCAGCATCTTGGCCAGATGATGGATTTGGTTGCCTTGGATCTGGACCTGAACTCTGTCTTTTGTTCCTGGTATTGGGGCGATGGTGGCACTGGCTTGTACTTTCTGCTGCAGAATGTTGGCCACACACTGTGGGTCTAGTCCATACAGCTCAAGGTTCTTGATAATCGTCACCTACAGGTTTTAATAATGATTGCAAATATCACTGTATGCAGCAAGTCATGGCTCATTCACCCCAAGATAAAGGAGCTGCCAAAGATGCTCTCACAATCTGGGCTTTGCTCTAACCCCCTCATTTTAGCTCTTTTTTACCTTCTTATTTGATGACCTCTGTGCTATGGTTACGTCGATGGGCTCAATGTTTCCTTTCCTCACAACAGGTTCTTGTCCAAAAAATGTCACCTGGTGCAAGGGCTGCAGTCGTTCAAGGCACCTGAACACAGTTTATACATCCAGTTAGTGTACACAGTACAGCAAGGCTGGTACCACCGATGCTTTTCTGCTGCAGCAGAAAATCTTCTTTATCTTTAAGCTATTGCTCAGTTGTATTTTTCACAGATGAGTGAAGCAACTTCAGTTTGAGATTCAGCATTAGCTGTGTTACTGTCCCCCGAGCAAACCTGGCTTCAGAAATCAAGAAAGGCTGGAGGTGCCTCCAAAGCACTGTGTGATGAAGAAGCTCAAGGCAAGTAAGACATTGGGGTTATTGAGGCAAAGTTTCTCAATGTGTGGGAACAATGGTCTTGTGTCAGATACTAGGGCCTCTTGGATCTAGAAGGTGGGTTTAGGTCCCAAATACAGAAGCTGTGATACATAAAGAGCAGGATGACTACCATTGCCTGCAAGGGGCATGTTCAGCCACCTCTTCCAAAGGATGGCTTTATAAATATGTACACGATCACACACAGAACCAGGCACTGTTTGATTAGTAAGTCTTCCCTGATTAGTGGTTAGCAGATAAATGGAAAACTAACAACAGTTAATGCTAGATGCTTGTTAAATGGTAAAGATTAAGAAAGCCTCCAAGCGGAGGTCTCAGAGTACTTCTTTCTTGTGTTACCAGTAGGAAGCTCCAAGTTAGGTAGCTCCAGTAACACATGGCTTTGAGGTGCATGCAATAGAGCTGCATAATACATAAACACCACATTGGGAAAACAGTCACCTGCTCAAGAGGTCATCCCATTTAAGGTGTGAGATTTCATCTTGTTCCGATTTATCTAACAGGCAGTCACACAGAATGGCATTCACCTTTACAAGGCTACAAAACAACAACAGGCATTAGAAGCAAAGTAGTTCACGTTTTAGCTCCCACTTCAGCACCTCCTGTGGAAGCAGGGCAGGACAAATGCCATGTCTACTTACTTTTTGTTTGTTTCATCCACCAACTCATTAGCCTTCACATAGTTAATAATGATGTTTCTCACCTCACTGCTTGAGAGGCTGCTGCCTTTTCTAAAGAGAAAGAAAACTTTTTACTTTAAGTAGTTAGGTGTTGGGTTCTGTCACTAAGAATACAGCAACTACCCTGACTACATTTGGTAGCAACAGCTCAGTACTGAAATACATCAGTTAGGGAGTGATTTCTTGTTACACCTCAGCTGCCATACACCTGATAAAAGGTTCACAGTAATTACAGAGACTCTCAGCCCCTTGCTTCTGGGAGCCTACTTTGGGAGGATGAGCCTAACAGCACCCCTAACTTGAGGGGACTGTGGGTAACTTGTACTACAGTGCTCAAGCTGAAGAAAGGCTGCTGCTGAGTGCTATCTACACTACATCAAACAGACAAGGTTAGGAAATAAGAAGGCAAGTGAGTTCTTTAAATTATCTGGGCATCCCCTTTTAAGTAAACCATAATGTGGGAGGGTAGAATATGCCTTATCCAATGGCAAACTAATACAATCCAAGTAAATTATAT